TCCCTCCCACTTTTTCCTCCCCCCGTCCCCGCTCACCTCCAGCACCATGGAGCCGAATTCCCTGTCCCGGTAGAGCTGCCTGGCACAGGCCAGGATGGTGGAGGTTTTCCCTGTGCCGGGCGGGCCATAGAGGAGCAGGTGCGGGAGCCGATCCTCGCTGATGAACCGCTGCACTGCGGGACACCGGGATACCGGGACATGGGGAGATGGGGATACCGGCACACCGGGATACCGGGACATGGGGAGATGGGGATACCGGCACACCGGGATACCGGGACATGGGGAGATGGGGAGATGGGGATACCGGCACACCGGGATACCGGGACATGGGGAGATGGGGATACCGGCACACCGGGATATGGGGATTCTGGGATACTGGGAGATGGGGATACCGGGACATGGGGATATGGGGATTCTGGGAGATGGGGATACTAGGATACCAGGACATCAGGATATTGGGATACTGGGACACCAGGATATGGGAATATGGGGATACCGAGACACCGGGATATGGGGATTCTGGGATACTGGGAGATGGGGATACCGGGAGATGGGGATACTGGGACACCAGAATGTTAGGATACCAATACCAGGACAGGGGGATACCAGGACACCGGGATATGGGGATTCTGGGATACTGAGATATGGGGATACTGGGATACCGGGACATTGGGATATTGGGATACTGGGACACTGGAATATGGGGATACCAGGACACTGGGATATGGGGATACTGGGATACTGGGACACTGGGATATGGGGATACCAGGATAGGGATATGGGGATACTGGGATATCAGGATACTGGGATATGGAGACAACGGGATATGGGGATGCCAGGATACTGGGATATGGGGATACTGGGGTATTGGGATACCGGGACACCAGGATATGGGGATACTGGGATATGGGGATACTGGGGTATCGGGACACCGTGACACTGGGATATGAGGGTATCAGGACACCAGGATACTGGGATATGAGGACAATGGGATATTGGGATATGGGGATACTGGGACACCGGGATATTGGGATACCAGGATAGGGATATGGGGATACCAGGATATCAAGATACTGGGATATGAGGATACTAGGATATGGGGATACTGGGATATGGGGATACTGGGGTATCAGAACACTGGGATATTGGGATATGAGGATATCAGGACACCAGGATACTGGGATATGGGGACAACGGGATATTAGGATATGAGGATACCGGGATACCGGGACACCAGGATATTGGGATACTGGGATACCGGGATATTTGGACACTGGGGTACCGGCATATGGAGATATTGGGATATGAGGATATCAGGATGTCGGGATATGGGGATATCGAGATACCAGGACACCGGGATATTGAGACACCGAGAGATGGGGATATAGGGATATCAAGACATCGGGATATGGGGATGTTGGGATACCGGGACACCGGGATACTGAGATTATTGGGATATGGGGATATCGGGACACCAGGATATGGGGATATGCGGATATTGGGGTATCGGAATATCGCGATATGGAGATATCAGGACACAGGGGTATTGGGATACCAGGATATCAGGATGCCGGGATATCGGTACAACGAGATATGGGGATATGCAGCTATCGGGATCCCGGAGTATCGGGATCCCGGGACACTGGGATATGGGGATATGCAGCTATCGGGATCCCGGAGTATCGGGATCCCGGGACACTGGGATATGGGGATATGCAGCTATCGGGATCCCGGAGTATCGGGATCCCGGGACATCGGG